ACCTTAATGAACTCCAAACGAGAGGTGCAGAGATCGACAAGATGTTATCAGGATGAAGACAGACCCGTCTGCACTGCAGCTGTGAAATTAACTAGTCTGATGCTGCACCTTAAATCCTCTCCCGATGTTTCATTCAGGATATAAGGCTACTGGATGATGGTATCAAATGCTGCTGTCAGTCCAAAAGGACCAAAATCACAGAATAACTTGCCAAAAAGATGTTATCAAAAACCCTTAGCATGGCTTTTTCAGTGATAAGCCCAGAGGGTCTTAGGAGCAAATTAGATATGTGAATTAAAGCAAGTACAGCTCCATAACTATACATTGGAAAAACAATTGTTTGTATTTGTGTGACAGAAAGGCACTGAGGAATATTTTGCAGGTGGAGCCACTATTCTAAATGTCACCATGTCTGATTTATAGGTGCTTAAACAAAGAAAAAATGAAAAATATTTAAGTCCACCAATTTTTTTTCCAAAATAAACACTGCAAAAAACAATGAAACCCCATTTGAATTCTGGATGAACCGTCGGATTTTATAGATCCACATCTTGACAATAACTAAAGCAAATTTGGACTGAATATGTTGAAGGTTTTGGTGGGCAGTGTGCTAGGTGGAAATGAATATACACCAAACTGAATATAAGATAGGAAAAACAGAGCAAGTTTATGAAACACATGCCGATTACATCATCTGAAATGGTTGCATAATTACCTGTGACCCCTCCTTGGAAAGGTCTGAGGTTCTAGTTTCCAATGATGCAGGCCATTAGGGGTGGGTTGCTAAAAATGAATACCTGCTGTTGCTTTACTCCCGCAGAGTCTCACACATGTCAGGTGGAATTTCAAATCTCATTTTAATTGTTTACACAGCTATAAAAGAAAAAGTATTTGTGAAAAAATAATTTTGAAATATGTTTTAGAAATTTTAAAGCCCCATTTGAAAGGCATGTGGATGAAACACAATGTGACTGTGTTTTTAGCCATTTCTATAAATAGATAAACATGAGCAGGTGTCAGTTTTGCCCGGTACCAGGCCCGCCGGGCCTAAGGGATTAAACTTAATACGATGAAATAAATCTCCAGTGTCTATACAGAAACTAGAGTTTTGAGGTTGGTCTAAAATTTGAGTAAACCAGTGGCTAGAGACTTGAGGGTTTTTTATCAGTGAATTTACCACAGCGTGCCTGGAAACAATGAAATCCTTCATTGGCCTACTGCTGCAAGAACATAGCAGAAAAAAAAAATCAGGGACCAACAGAAGGAGAATCTGGAGGTCTCATTTGGGCAAATATCTTTTTTCAGAACTGAAAGAGAAACTGTGTCAAACTGAAGAGGGCTGAGCTGGGAACAAAGATGGATGGATGGTGTCCTGGGAAGGGATCAATGACCGAGTGGACGGATGATTTTCAGCAAGGTCTTTAAAGTTTGTAGACCAAGGAATACTTTCAGTTAAGGATTTTAAACAGAAATTATGCATTGAGACATTAATATTTGTTTTTTTTTTCCCAGTTTGATAAAGTGCTTTGGTACGACTCCCCCCAAAAA